CTAAATAATTTAGCTGTACTACATTAATAACCAGATACACTATCCATGAAGCAAGGCCTTTGTGTGCTGTGTATACAGTTTAAGCACACTATCCAGTTTCAGAGAGCTAACATTCTAAACATAACACGTACTATTCCCTCACAACAGGAAAAAACAGATGATGAACACAGAGAATGGATAAAAGAGAAAACAAGACTACATAGGTCAGTCTGACTAACCATAAGCCATAGATCCTCAGTTGCCTAAATACTGTTTTGCTTACTTAAAAACTCATCCACTATCTAACTTCAGGAAACACAGCAGAGTACCCTCTTTGTGTTCTGTAACACAAAGTCAAGCAGAATTCCAGAACAGTATATTTACGGCATGTATAAAATGACTGATCTAAAAATAAAACAACCCCTTTTATGAAGGATTAGGTTATTTACATTTCTCTTTCCTTCCTTTCTTTGAGCAACTTCCCTCCTCATCAGTTTCCTACAACACACTTTCACATCACCTCCAATAACCCTGTATAAATCACGATCTTTCCTCATCTACAGCATCTGAAGTTCCCCATGCACTTTTTAAAACCTGGGATGACAACCCAGAATTTTAGCAGATGACTAACTGCTACTACTTTTCTTTTGACTTTATTTAGACAAGAGGTTCAGATGACAGCTTCCTACAGGCTTTCACGGAATCACAGAACAGCTGAGGTTGAAAAGAACCTCTGGAGGTTCAACCCCCTGCTCAGGCAGGTTAAAAGCTTTCAAAAGACAGTCAATGCCACCTGGTATCAAACCCACCTAATAGCATGTGCCTCCTCCACAGTAAGTAAATAACTCTTTTCAGGGAACTTACATTTCCCCCATCCCTGAAACTAGGATATGCACAGTGGTGGAACTATTTTATTTTGCTTGGATGGGAAGTTAACCAACAATTTCATCTGTAGTGCACATCCACACCCCGTTGCTCCAGAACTGGTTAACTACAATGATTTGAACATAGATTTGGAAGCATATGTTTTTAATCTTTTTTTTTAATCCTTCTTTTATCCTCCCTTTTTACCCTTCATTTGCCTCTTTTTTAACGCATTACAGCTTTTGGCTTCAGCACAGGAAGATACTAATACCTTCTGGAAGAAACAAAAGTAAAAACTGCCTTCTTGGTGTTAAAATCTGCTTGCCCTGACAAGAGAAAATATATTCTTGACCTAATATAACAGTGCACATCAACTAAAATCACAGCTACTTATGCAGGATTAAAATGTAATATGCAGTAACAACAACAATGATCTAAGGCAGTAAAAACTTGGATTGTTCACTGTCTCGTTCCAAAAACATTCTCTTACTCTGTATTAGTGAGGTAGAGCTCATTTCTATAAATCAGATATTGCCCTGTACTCCATGTCCTAGCCATGCATAAGGACTGCCCTGCTCAGATTGATCCCACCTCCTGCCCAAAGATTTGCCTACAGATCCCTGTTGATTGTGTGCACAACTGTGCAGGCAAAACTACTGACATTTTATACAGGACTGTATTAATTAAGCATTGTCATAGGAAGAACAAAGACTCTTAGCAATGCTTCCTACCTAGGGAACGTGAAATATTCCCTATCACATGCAAAATCAACACAACTTTTCTTGCCAGGAATAGAGTCTACACTTAGTTTCCTCTACCAAAATCCAACAGTAACTCCCAACTTTGTAGCAGACCTTTACAATCAAGATTCCCTGTGTCTTTCCACTAACAGGACAACAAAAACAACGGATAGTGAGACAGAACAATGACTGACATTCACATAAAACACATTACCAAGGACTAAAAACCTACATTGTTCTATTACCATTGTATTGTGCTTTAGGAAGCCTGCTTTTTAAAAGAAAACAGAAGGATATAGACAAATAATTAACTTTGACAGAAAATAATAATCCATCTACTATTTCATTTTTGCTAATGAAGGGCAAATCTAAAATTACACATGGAATCTCCCATTCTAAAATAAACAGTAACGTAATGTCTGAGAGTAAAGTTGAAAGAAAGAAAATCATAAGAATGTTCTAATAGTCCCAAACCTCATTCTCTCTTTGGATCTGCCTGCTCAAACAGATCAGGAGCAGACAATGAAATTCTTCCCTCCTCCCTTTCCAAGATTGTGAACACTGTCAAATTCATGAGCCATAATGTTTCCCAATCTACAGGGGCTGGGAATATAAATTATATTTGCCTAAGGCTGGTCCAGCAGAACATGCTTTTTTGAATGTCACATCCAGTTAAGAAAAGCAATATGCTTAAAATGGAACTTCTATTTTTGACTAATAAACATGATCTGGTCAAATTTTTAACTGACTAATCCCATAACGGTAATATTTCATATCCTCAGTATGTCTATGCATTAGCTTTTTTTCTCAAACTGATAACAGTATAACAGATTGCCAAATCTACCCAATCTCCAAAAACATTGAACAGTGACTCAATTCAGGTAGTTTGAATTATTATGATACAGAATTTGATCTTGCCAGCATTTATACCCCTGACAGATACTAGCCTGATAAATGGCAAATGAGCCTTACAGAGCTTGCCTGCACTGGGGCACACCAATATTCTAGAGCTACACCCACAAGCTTGAGCTGAGGGAGGTTTAATGCAGATCTTGTTGGCTTGGCAAGGATTGCTGAGTGCTTACCCTCTGCTCACTTCATAGATCTGCCACTACTGAACCTGAGACCCCATGTCCCAGTTCAACAACACTGATAATGTGCCACCTGACCAGTCAGTGAGGTATTGCGTCACACAGCCCTGTTCCCTCTGGTGTTCAGCCTGTAGCTGGCACACACTACAGCACTTTAACATTTTTTTCCTTTCTGGAAAAACTAAAAAGCAATACAGCAAAACACCATTCAAAACTACTTCTGGTGCTACTGCAGTTCAAGCTTTAGGATAACACCTATGTTCAAGTATTTATTCTAGAGCAGAAATTCAAGCCTGCTGTGCTGTAACTGCAAGAAATAAAGAAAATAAAAACAAACCAAACCCTTTCCAGCCTCTCAAAAACAAAACAGTTGGCAAAGAGCTCAAGGAATGATGGAATCACTACTTGTTTGCTTTCCTTTCTGTATATACTTTCCTGTCTCTGTGTGGTCATTAGACTTACACTGGTGAAATTTTTAGCAGGTTAATGGGAGAACATAGTAATCCAATTATGATGCTACAGGATTTTCTTAAGGTTCATGAAAGTTGTATTGGTCATGGATAGATGGCTAAGGAATTGGGACTCTTTTTTCTCCATTTTTATTTCATTGAGAAAGCATGGACATGGCATTTCGATTCTGACATTTATTCTTCCAGTGAAGAGACATGACAAAGGTTATGCTTTCAATAAATATCTGAAAACAAGTAAGTTTTGCTTTCAATTAACTTAGTGTTGTGAGAGTATACACTGTATTTATACTGTTGACCAGCAAATAACGTTGTCATGAAAGGCTTGGTATCATTTCTGCTGCAACATTTCAAAAGTCACGCCAAGTTGTCACTAGTTTATCCAATTTTCTATTTCATTTCCTTTCATTACCATCACCACTTCAGCCACTCATATTTTTTGTTAGATATGTTTATATTAACCACCAAATCATGAAAAAAAAATATTTATTTCTGTTATCACCACAGGGTCACCATTTCACTATGCAATCATTTCACATTTCTTCTGTTTTCATTGTGGAACAGCCTTATGATAGATCAGATAATGGGGAAAGTCCTCAGGCACTGTTACTATTATGAAATGCACTTTCACGTGTATCCTTTTTGAGGGAAACCACTTGATACAGCAATGCTGTAAGCTCTCCCTTTCTCTTCCATGTTGTGGAGTGGCTGGTCCCTATCTTCCAGTGCCTTTGCTGATGGATCATAAAAAGGTCTTCAGGTTCCCTTTCCCATCAAGTTCTCCAGGTGTGATTCAGCATTGCTTTGAGAAGGGAAGTTTCTAAATCAAAGCTTAAAGGATACACAGCTGAAATACTAATAAGCAGGAGGCATTAGAAGGCCTACAAATCTTATTTCTTCATTAATGCAAATCAGCTACACCTGGCATACAGAGTCACTGGGTCAAAGACTGCAGTGGCTGATGTATTAAATACCTGAGGACAACCATCAAGTGTAAACTGATTGTGAACCTCATAGTGTGCACAACATAACCAACGCATTTGAAAAGCATGTAATGCTGAGCTTAAACTGTATTTTAAGAATTCATGTGAAAACACTGGGGAATTCTGATCCTCATTCCAAGAATTATTATTCTTTACAAACAAAGGGAATATGTTCCATTCTGAAAACAGTACTTCTGGCCCCATTTTGAGACAATCAAGTGCTGCTCTGATCAGATTTGCAAGGTCTACATAACCTTATCAGCTAAGTTCCATTATCAAAAGCTACTAAGGAACAATTCTGAAACACACCGAATTCTATAACATGCTTTTGAAAGCCAGACAAGGTAGGTAATTCCCTCTATTAACATGGACTCTGATCACATTTGAAAATAGGACTTTACACCTGTTAGTTTTAATATGTGGTAGGGTGTAAATACCTTTTTCACAGCACTGGGGCTTTCCGTCTGAAAGCTTAAGCCACTATGAGTCAACAATGACACTTAGAGAATTAAATTACAGGATGTCCCTCTCTTACAAATGGAAGGTAGCCAAGAACTTTACTACAATTCTTGCAGATGAAAAGGGCACCTGCTGCTTAACTACCACCGGAGTCAACTCCTGCATATGAAGACAGCACTTTTTGGGGTCACTGGAGAAGAAGATGGTCCACACTGGGAAAACGAGGCCTACTGCCCCTCAGAGGAGTGGGCAACCCATGCCGCTTGCCCACAAGGGCTCTGTGGCTGCCAATTTTCAACAAGGCACCATCTCAGCTTTGATCCAGGCAGCGACAAGAAAGCTCAGCCCAGGGAGCGCCTGCATCCCACCACCACGTCCCACGGCCGCCTCTTGCCGGACTTTGCCATGCCCCCTCACCTTCCACGAGCTCGTCCAGGCTGGTGAGCTTCTTGCTGCCATCGATGGTGTAGATGGTGCGGACCCCTTGGGGCAGGTTCACGTTGTCCGACAGGGAGCGAGTGAGCTCCACCAGGAGGGCGTCGAAGGAGCGGAAGCGGTCGGGGGAGATGGCGTACACCAAGCCCTTGAAGTACCTGTCCCCGTTGCGGTAGAAGCGGGCTTTGCGCGCCTTCTTCTCCGAGCTGAGCGCCTGCAGGGTGCGGGTCCGGTAGAGGCTGCAGTGCGCGCTGTGCGCCGGGCTGGGCACCAGCCCATTGCCCCTCGGCCCCGCGCCGCCGCCCGACCCGGAGCCGCCGCGCCGCGGCCCGGAGCGCTGCTGCCGCTTGTCCCGCTCCTCGAAGTGCTCCAGCTCGATGCTCCGGTTGCTCGCCATGGGGAGGGAGCTGCCTGCCCGCCCGCCCCTCCCGGCTCTCCGCTACGGGCTGCTACGCCTGCCCCCCGCGCTCGCAAGGGCTCCGGCCGCCTAATTCAGCATCGCGCCCGGCCCCGCTCGCCGGGAGGGCTGCGGGTGAGCGCGGCGACCGACCTGCCCCGCAACCGCAGCCGCCGCTACCCGCTGCTGCGCCCGCCGCCGCGCACAAAAGCATCCCTCATGCCCCGGCGCGGCGCCTCCCGGCTACAGGCGATGCCGGCAAGGGAGCGAGAAGCTCGGGGGAGCCCCGCAGCCGCGCCCCCGCGCCGTGCCCATGCAGGCTCGCACAATACTCGGGTCCCCTCCGCAGCCTCTCCCCTGCTGGCTCTGCCGGGCGGCGCTGGCCGGGGCCGGAGCGCCTATGCCGCCAGCTCCGGCGCTGGTCCTGGATCCGGTCCCGGTGCGGGGGCGCCGGGACCGCCACTCGGCGCTGGGAGCGGCGCAGCCCCGCCGGCTGCTCGGCGGGCAAGGGCGCTGCTGTCGCCCGCCTCGGAAGGGAAGCAGCCGCAGCGGATCCTGCGGGAGGAGCGCGCTCGCGGCCCGGCCGCTGGCGGTGGAACGGGAGCTGGCGCTGGAACGGGCGGGGCTCCCGCCAGGCCCCCGGAGCCGGGCGGGCGCGGGGGCGGCGCCATCTCGGCTCAGCGTCCGGCGCGGGGGCGGTGCTGTCCAAGGCGGCGGCGGCGGCGGCGGCGTTGTTGGGGCGACGGGAGGCAGGGAGGGATGGGAGCGGCTTGTGGGGTGTGAAGCGGGAAGAAAAAGGGGGTTCTTCTAGGGCGGGGAAACGAATTTGGAGGAGCAGCTTTCCCGCAGAGGTAGCGCTGCCCTGCTCGCGGCGGCTCCGGCGGGAGCGGTCCATGAACCCCCAGCTCCGTCGGGCGCACCGGCGGAGCTGCCTGCCAGCTCTCTCCCGGCTTAACTTGGGCTCAGTCACTAGGTTAAAACGCTAAAAATTCCCCTGTATGGCCCTCTGCCTAAAAAACATCACCCGGGACGAAAATTACGCATCCCTGTCATTTGTTAAACATAGGAACTGTTTCACAAGGGCATGTAACGATAGGTCATGGGATAATGGCTTTAAACTGAAAGATACTAGGTGTAGATTAAGTATTAGGACGAAATTCTTTACTCTGAGGGTGGTGAGGCCCTGGAACAGGTTGCCCAGAGAAGCTGTGGTTGCTCCATCCCTGGAAGTGTTCAAGGCCAGGCTGGATGGGGCTTTGAGCCACCTGGTCCAGTTAAAGGGTGCACCTGACCGTGACAGAGGAGTTGGAACTAGATCGTGTTTAAGGTCTCTTCCAACTCAAAACCATTCTGTGGTTCTGTCATTCTATAATTTTCCTTTTGCATTTGTGAATGCCACTGACAGTTTATGAGGAAACAAATAACCTCATTCATACAGTCTAAACCTCCCAAATGTACTGCAGCCCACAGTTCATGACTTCCCCAGGGATCTTCTCAGTGCTCCTGAGGTTGCTCAAGTCAAATTCACTTTTGGTAGAAATGGCCAACAAATACATTGAAATGGATGCAATATCTTCTTTTTTTTTTTTTTTTACTTATATTCTACTATTACAGAATATATTTTCTTGGCATAATAATTACGTAAAAACACGTAGAAGGCATTTACAACTACATACAGGTTTTCATTTTTTTTAGGTCACTTGCATTGAGAGGTTTGGTTGTGTTATGCCATTACAGGTAGTCACAGTTTCTGCTCTTCTGTCCAATATTCTTTACACACTTCTGGGGGATTTATTATTTTTCACTTTTTACGTTTTGAAATACCAATAAAATCAAGCACTGTCTCACTGTTATTACTGGGCTTCTTACAAAGTAGATTAAACAACTAGCTGCAATATTCCTGAACACAATACTTGGAAAACATAAGTGAATTTCACTTTTTATTGAAGTGCCAACTTCTGTGATGCTTGGAAACATTCTAAAGCAAAAAGAAGTGGTAAACTGTGTTGCTGGGTTATCTTCTCCAGTGGTAAAATCAACAGAAGGAACTGAATGAAGAGGGAGTTTTGTTACAATCGGGGAATGCATACACCTACTAAGACTAGATATGCAGGTCTTCCCTAGGAACCAGGACCCAGAAGCCACAAAAGTGTAGGAATCAACTTTCTAGACTGTTTTGATATGCAGTTTCTCATCCTGTTTACAGGCAAAGTTACACAAAGTTCAATCTCACTTGTTTAACTTAACTAACTCCAGAGTGGATTGGTGTTAGCTGCAAGGCTGTATTTTTTTCCAAATGGTACCACACTGCATGGGCCTTTGCAGAACAAGTCACATAACTTAGTTCAAATCTCAGGTGAAGGTTATTTGGACTAACCTTTTTCAATTTGCTCAGAAGCAGACCACAAAAGCTCATGGAATTTTAATTCCTCCTGCATACACACCTTCTCTCTCCTCCCAGCTGTTAAACATTGCCTACTGATCACAGTGTTGTGCTCAACTATGTGTATAGGACTCTTGCCAACTAAAATGTGAAATACATATATTTATATGTGAATTTAGTATACTAACTGTGTCTATAACTGCATTTAGGTTGGAGAATTCAGTGCCAGGGTAAGCATTTCATTGGTTTTAAGTTGTTTTGCTGGGTGGTAGGATATGTCACGTGCAGGACTTGCTCTGACTTCTGAACTCTGGCTAGAGATGGGATAGAAGGAATGGAATTTTACACAGCCTCTGATAAAGTAAAACTAAAAGGGAATTCTTCAGCTTTTACCAGGAAAATTCTCTCTCCTCATCAAAGGGAATTCCCACTACAGTTTTCAAAGTCTTTACAGCAACTGTTTTTTATGGAGCATATAAACATGAAATGGACTTCTAGCCTGTAAAACTAAACTACTTCTATATTAAGAGGCTGTTTACTGAGAGGTTACAATTAGATCTGCATGTGTAACTGCCAAGGAAATGCCTGGTGGCACCTCAAACATGGTCCTACAACTTGTGCTCTTTCTTTTTTGGTTCTCCTCAGATGTTGTGTGTATTTTTAATAAGATCTGCAAGCCCCCATTAAGAAAGGTTCACAGTGCTCCCATTTGTGTGTATGCTTTGCCTTTTCCTTATAGCCTTATTTCCCCTAGGGAGTTGTCTGTAGTCGAACAGGGAGGATTTAAAAGACTTTCAAAGATGAGGAATAATAACCTGAAACAACCTCATATGCAGCTGGATGACATTTGTTGTTACACATTAGAAATTTAATGTGATTAATATGCAGTTCTGTATGGAACTGAGCTATGCATTCCCATTATCTTCTTCCAAAATAGAGTTGACAAATTAGTAGTTCACTTAACAGCAAGCAATGTTACATGTATAAATGATACCTTGCTTATTAACATAAATCTCCAGACACCATAAAAATGTGATTATCATTAATTCTGGTGATATTCTTATTCTATAAACATACATTTCCTGTTTGAAAAGAATACACCCTCCAGTTTTCATGTTCATCTAATTAATCAGTTCTTCCACCTATCTTTGTTTTTTTTCTGCTTTATTGTGGTAAGCATAATGAATTCTTTGTTTAAATTTCTTCCTGCTTCTAGAAGGCCTCCTATGTGGTTTGATTGGTTGGTTGATTTTTTGCTTTGAAACAAGCAAGACCTGTAAGAAATTTCTAAAAGGAAACAAAGAAAACTTTGCCATCACATGTAATATCTTTTCTTTTTCTGTTACCTGAACTCCCTACCTTCCTGGTAGCAATCAGTAAAATTCAAGTCACTTAGCACATTTAATGGGATTGATAGGTGAAATTCAGCTCAGAATCAGAGTTTACATTGCATTTTAGAAAAGCAATTATGTATCTGACCTTTGCATTTAGCCCATTGAGTTCACCTTGAAAATGAAAATGCCTGATGTTGCTAAAGAAATTAAAAAACCACCATAAATTTGGGGTCTGTTGAATCAAGATTTGTTATATGGAAAACTTTATTTGAATAACAAAATATTTACTTGCCACACTAAACACACCAAATTTGAGTATTTAAACAATTAAATGTTTATTTGTAATGATTTGTTTTCAACCGTGAATGTTAAAATGCTTTTAAAATATTCATACATTAAAAACTCTCAGCATCCCTGTGAGATGCTGTGCCCTACTTTATAGATACATAAAATGGGAAACCAAAAATTTAAGCAACTTGACCAAGTAGCAGAGAAATATATCAGCATATGTGGTGTAAGAAGGATCTTCAGTCCTCAGTGAGGTGGCAGTGCGCCTAGATGGCCAGGAAGGCCAGTGGCATCCTGGCTTATGCCAGAAATAATATGGCCAGCAGGACCAAGGCATTGATTGTCCCCCTGTACCTGGCAATTGTGAGCCCACACCTCAGATCCTGTGTTCAGTTTGGGCCCCTCACTACAAGAAAGACATTGAGGTGCTGGGGTGTGTCCAGGGAAGGGCAACGGAGCTGGGGAAGGGTCTGGAGCACAGGTCTGGTGAGGAACAGCTGAGGGAGCTGGGTTTGCTTAGCCTTGAGAAAAGGAGGCTCAGGGGGGACTTTATTGCTCTCTACAGCTACCTGAAAGGAGGTTGCAGCAAGGTGGGGGTCAGTCTCTTCTTCCCATGTGATAGAACAAGAGCAAATGCCCTCAAGTTGCAGTTGCACCAGGAAAGATTTAGATTGGATATTAGGAAAAAATTCTTCACTGAAAGGGTGGTCAAGCATTGGAACAGGCTGCCTGGGTGGAATCACCATTCCTGGAGGTATTTAAAAGATGTGTAGATGTAGCACTTGGGGACATGGTTTAGTCTTTTTGCACTCCAGTAAAAATCAGTTCCTAATTATAACTGATTGTTCGGTGACATGAGGTAATGATCCTCACCCACTCATATTGGATCAGAAATGTCCACATTAAATAAATTGAGTATGAGTGTCTACAATATAAATAAATGTCCAACTCCCAATGCCTTTACTGGTGGATTATATAAAGGTCTTCATGTTCTTTTCTCATCAAATTCTCCAGGTGTTGCAGAAAGTGAAACAGAAGTTTCCAAATCAAATCTTAAAGGATACACAGCTGAAAGCCTAAAGAGGAAGAGGCATATGAAGGCCTACAAATGTCTTTGCTAATGAGTCTATATTGCAAACT